GGTACAACTGAGGCTGGAAATCTGAAACCAGTTCTGATGTCTATGGTACAAGAAGGCTGCTGATAAATTGAAGCGGATTTAGAGAAAAAGCCATAAGAATGACTTTGAATTAGAAAGTCTTAGAAAGTATGTGCTTCAGTGACAAAATCAAGGAGCTTAAATCTATTTATCTTAACACAGAGTTGGTTGGGGACAGTTATTTCACGCTATAGATAACTACCTACTCTTGCAATCTAGCAGAGAAAGGTAAAACATGAAACTAGGCAAAGTTGAAGTTGAAACTAGACAAATGCAGACTAGAAATATAGTCACAATTTTTAATGGTGAGAATAATCAACTATTGGAGCAATTTAACAAAAGACACAGTGGATTCTCTATCACTGTAAACTTTTAAATAAAGATTGGTGGTTTTTCTAAAAACTATGCTCTAGGAATCATTTTGAGACAATTATATGCCAAGTTTTATATACTTTGTGTGACTAGATGATTAGAAGCATCCCTTCTGGTCTTGGGATCTATGAATTCACAAAGGAAGAAGGCATTAAAAACACATTAAGGAAACATCATATTATCTCTGTATTTCTGAGACTGAATATCATTGTCTAAGCTATATTTATAAAAACATGATTAACAATACTATTCAGTGGCATGTTTCATTTGTTTACACTTTCATATTAGCATTTGATAGATCTGATACAGATCGAACATAGGCCCCAATCCTGCAAACACTTTCAGTACATAAGCAACTTTACACGTGAATAGTACCAGTTAATTTAACAGAACAACTCATGTATGCAAAATAGCTCACAAGAGTAAAAAATTTCAGGATCAAGGCTGCAAACTAGAAGAAACCTTTTTTTCAATAGAGGATTGAAGATATATCACCCTATGGAAGCTCTTGTAGAGCTAATTCAAAAACTATGCTGGTATTTTTAATCACTGGCACAATTTAATATCAGTATATTTCAGAATAATAAAAATAATGCTTTGCACCTATGCAGGTGCTTTTATCAGAGTCTCTCAAAGTGATTTATGAACATTAATTAACATGGCCCTAAATACCATTCAGAGGTGAGTGAGTATTATCTCCATTTAATAGACGGAGAAACTCAAACATAAAAAAAGTTTTGAGACAGATTTTTGTCAGTGCCTGGTAATTTTAGGTACCTCAAAATCTTTGAAGGATAATTTTGAAAACAGGAGTTCATTAAATGAGCCTGGGTAATAACAGAACCTGGAATTCCCAGCTCCTTCATGAGAAAGTTTTAACCGATAAATTATGCTTTTAACACATAATTTGACACATTTTCAATGTCATGTCATATATGATACATTCTTCACTAGCAGCACTAGAAAGAGAAACATTTAAAAAATCTTCCATTTTATTAAGGCATTCAAGAATACTTAGACTGAAGAAAGAACAAAATGAGTATGGATGACATGCTTTCAATACACAGAAAAATACATGGATGAACAGCTGTATTTCTAGTCTTATATATGGCAGAGGGAAAGCTTCTTTGAAGAGTTTCTATATTCTTCATATTGACAGAAGTATGGAAATTTAAGTGTTAGTCTGTAGAACCAATGTTAAATTGTTTACTTCTTTGTTGTCCATGCCATTTGGCTTGCTGACAAAGAAAATAATTTCATTAAATTCAGTTCAAACAGATTCCTGCATTCTGAATTTAATTTTCTCTGTGTTTAACTATTTCTTTTTGCAAAAATTAAGGGTATATAATCTAAGTACATTTGGAAAGAAAATATAGTACTGTAATTAAATTGTATAGCCCCATATTTTCTGTGCAACAATGAAATGGTGATTCTTTTTTTTCTTTTCAAAAATTGAAGAGTCAATGTTCACCATGGGGTCTCTGCTAAATAAGCTATATTTTTAGGAATATTCTGGTTAGCCAAATTTCACAGCTAAAATTAGAGAGACTGAATGAACCAGGAATAAGACAAAATTAATAGGTTATGTAATCCTGATGTGTGCAAGAATAATCAAGATGCACATTTTTTAAATAGTTTCATGTGTACGGTACATAATTTAGAGTTGGCGCAACTTTGGTCTCTACATTTCAAGTAAAACTTAAAAATTGGAAAGAACAAAGGTGAATAATGCAAGTGACAGAGTTTGAGAGATTAGATTTTGAAAAGTGGGCATATTCACTCTATAAAAAAGAAGAGAAGGAGAGACCAAAGGATCATATTCTCTGTAGATTAAAATCATTGATCAGCCAACTTTCTGCAGACCACCATAAAGTGTTCTATGGACCATAAGTGACTCATACCATGATATATTTCGCTTATGAAAATGTCATATGGGACTGTCAAAAGTCATACTAAAATCAAGATAAATCATGTCTTCAATAGAGCTAACTTTAACAAACTCAAAGAGCTCAAGGATAAAGTTGTTGGGGAGAGCCAATGGTTTCTCAGAAAGAAATTATCACAAAAGTGATATAAAAGCTAAAAAGAGACATTCTGTAAATACATCTGACCACGAAAAAGATGAAAGAAAGTGTAGTTCCTCTATTTAGTGGGAAAGGAGAGCTAATAATCAATGACATCAAGAAGGCAGTGCCTATTTTGCTTCAATTTTCACTGGAAAAGTAAATGGTTACCAGATGCTTAACAGTTAACACAATTAATATTAAGAACAAGGGGGAAGGGAAGAATATTTAGAAAGATATAACCTAGACAGCAGGTCCTATTAAAATTCACTCTAGGGTACTTAAGGAATAGGGATATCAACTTGTAGATGACTATAAGCCTGGGCTTAATGGTTAATCCTGTTGACTACATGCATTGCCCTCCTTGATACTTCAGGGGATGGGGGAGGTGGAAGCTGGTGTCCTTCCTCCATTCTTGAGCCACTGCCTCTAACAGAGAGGTAGCAGCACAAAGGGTGAGAGGGGCAAGCGGGAGCCCATATGTGTGGGGACATGCCTGCCCCCTTCTTGCTGCCTACTACAGAGGCAGCAGGGGAGGAGGGGCAGGAGCTGGTGCTGGGGGGAGCCAGTTTCAAAGCCAGCTCCTCCCAGAACCAGCTCTGTGGTGCAGCCCCTCTCCCTCCACTGATGCTTCAATCAGAGGCAGCAGCCGGGGCGGGGAGCACGGGAGGCTGCCATGAAGCAGCCTCTGCCCATGGGAGGGGTCTGACCTGCAGTTACATGACTGTTCAATTACATACAATCTAACATCTCTATTAAGGAACTAGCTTAAGCAATCTTATAACTGTTAGTGATCATTTTTCATAATTCATGGAGGATGTCTGAGATTCAACAGGAAAGAAAAAGAGCAAACACAAAATCGGTCTTTAAAAAGGGCAGAAGTAGACAACCCAAGGAAATACAGATCAGTTAAATTTGATACCTAGAAAGAGTCTAAAACAAAAATATTTTAAAAATCAGTTTGTAATCAGAGAGAGAAAAACAGTGTAATAAATAAAAGCAAACATGTATTTGTCAAGTACAAATCATCCTTAAACCTAATTTTCTTCTTTGACAGTGTTGCTGGCCTAGTGGATGGGGGAAAGGAGAAGACATGATACATCTTGATTTTACTAAAGCTTTTGACACATGACATTCTCATAGGCAAATATGGCTTAGATCATTGGTGGGCAATAACTGTGGTTCACCAGGGTTAGCCCCTCGTGGGTCCCCGCCACTGTCTTTGCCTGTGGAAGTGCAGGTAAAGAAGCAGTGGTCCACCAGAGGCTAACCCTGGTGAACCACCACCATCTTATTAGCCCATCAATGGTCTAGATAGACTTACTGTAAGGTGGGTGCACAACTGGTTGAAAGACTGATAGACAGAACAATCATTGATGGTTTGCAGTCAAACTGGGAGGCTGTATGCAGTGGGGTGGGACATATCTAGCAGTAAAGGCAAATGATGTCAAAGAAAAAACAAATGCAAGTAACTGCTAGACAGCAATATGCACTCTGGGCCAGCATATGATCATCAGGGCTCGACAAATGATACAATCTACTTGCCCGTGCCGAGTAGATTGTAACCCGGAAGAGCTGGGTTCGGGCGATCTGCGCACGTGCAGAATGATCTGCGCATGCGCAGATTGCTGGACAGCGCGGCTGGCAAGCAGGACTCACCGCGGTTCGGCGAACCCTGATGATCATATTGTCGCAGCTGTGAAAGGATGTTATTATTCTGGAGCATATGAATAGGAATGTAGCATGTATGACATAGAAGGCAATTGTTCTACTCCACTCAGCAGTGGTTAGGCCTCAGATGGAGAATCATATCTAGTTGTACATGGCAGGTAATAAGAAAACATGGACATATTAGAGAGAGGAGAGTAACAAAAATGATAAAAGGCTTAGGAAACCTGACCTATCAGAAACATTTTTAAAACCTGAGCATATTTAGTCTTGAGAAAAGAAGAAGGAGGAGGAACCAGATAATAGTCTTCATACCTGTTAAGGGGCATTATAAAAAGCATGGTGATCAATTATTCTAACATGTTCACTGAAGGTAGGACAAAAAGTAATGGGCTTAGTCTGCAATGAAGGAGATTTAGGTTAGATATTAGGAAAAACTTTCTGAGAAGCGCATGTAAGTACTGGAATAGGTTTCTAAAGAAGGTTGTGGAATCTCTGTCACTTGAGGTTTTTAAGAACAGGTTAGACAAAAACTTGTCAGAACTATCATAGTTGGGTTCTGCTTCAGTTCAGGGGGCTACACTAGATTATCTCTCCAGGTCCTTTTAACCCTACATTTTGCGATTCTGTGACCAGAACTACTAGGATAAAGAATAGATTTTTCTTTTATGTTTGGATATTAGGCAGAAAATAATATCCACTCCAAAGTAAAATCAATTAATTTCATACTGACAGGCCTAAATACTTCATACTTTGTACATGCAAAAGATTAATAATATCAATTTAAAACATGTATATCTGATGCTTAGCATTAGTTTCTGTAGTAACAAGAATGATTTTATTTTTTGATTTGTTTGAATTGGAAGAATTGCACAATACCTGTCCAGTGTATGCAAAGTCCAGGGCCTGCTTTAAACCTAGGCTTGTGACACCATGCAAATTCACCTCATCAGCTCCACTTTCAACCATACAGAGACTGAACATTGCCTAAAAAGAGAAGAGAAAAATTTGCAGACATAAAAAATGAGATTGAGGGGGAAACATGAGAAGTTTGCTACCTACTTACTCCTTACTAGTCTCCATATAAAAAAAAACCTCCTCAGTATCACCATGGCTACTATAAAATAAGATCCAGTGCTTAATCTGTAATGAAAGACGTGCCAAGGCTCAAGCAATTTGTTTTACATTCCTACCTGATTCACCAAGCTCAGAGGTGCCAGGGCTATGAAATGCCAGGACTAAAGATGCCCTGAAACCGCCAAATTACTATCTACTTCCAAAACTGTTGTTCTGATTGCCACTGAAATTAACTGGTCTGAAATGAATGTGTTTCCTGGCAATGATCCAATTTATGCAAACATGTAATTTATTCCGGTAGTGGTTCTACTCTTCTGCAATCTGTACTTCAATTTAAATTTTATCAGAGTTTTCCCTAACTGGCAGTATTATAGAATATAATGTGTTAAATTATTTATCACATTAACACAATACAAAACATTATTCTAAGTTTACCTAACTGGAAATAAATCAGAACTGACAAATTCAGTGACTTGTCCAGCTCAATAAAAATTGTAGTTAGTTTGTTAATTACTGTGCATGTCACCCAAAATACCAATTGCCATTTATTTGTATATGGTATGCCAGGATTGCTATTTCATTCTGCCTTTCAATATTTCATTCAACATTTCACTATTTCTCACTCTTGAGCTGGTTAAAGTTACAATCTTGTTCCCTGTATTAATCACAAAGCACAGGTCTGCATTCTGAATCCTCTCCCACCAAACTGCTCTCTATTCTATGCCATGTTCTCTAACACACCACATGCTAGCATGTGTTTATGATATCCCACCACTTCTTTCTGGCCTGTCCTCTTCCTTCAGGCTTGTTCCGCTGGACTCTTAATAGAGATGTCAGAACTGAGCTTTATACATTAAAAATATGTAACTCCCCTGGCTAGCAGTCGATCTCTGCCCTCCATAAACTGAGTTACTGTAAACATTAAGACTAGAATGGATCTATTGTTTCCAAATATATGAACTGCAGACACCTTTGTAGGTAATAATTTCATATAGCATGAAAAGCACTCAGACCAAAATGATGAAAAGCATTCTGAGATGGGGTGCAGCATACCATGCAGTGAAGTCATTTTAGACAGCAGTCCATAACAGTGTGGAATACAGCAAATGACTCAAAATAACCACCACTCTCTTCAGAAATAATTGCACTGAGCTGTGCACAAGCCATGGAGCACAACAGGTTCCCCACACTAGATTTTTAAATAAAACATTGGTAATTAATAAATACTCAGTCATTCAAAAGCAGGGCTTTTGTTATGCACAAAACATGACTTAAGTTTTTTGTTGTTCAAACACAGAGCAAACACCTATTAAATCCTATCCTCCAGCTGTCAAAAGACATTAGAAGATAAGAGTGTTCTGTTGAAATGAGCTCCTTAATTTTTTATCCTAACTATTCTAAGGCCTTGTCTGAGTCATAAACTAGTTGGTTTTTTTTAATAAATTAAGGAAATTAGTTTGTGACTCTAAAAAATTTTTAGAAAAAAAATAGTAACACCACATTCTCCTCAGAAATGCCATGGCTGGAGGGGGAGTTTCTGATGTGATTTTGCTAAAATTTTGCACTTCCTCAGAAAGAATTCACACTAAGCACTACACCACAACTAAGTATTTACACTTTCATATATTCAAATGATATAATGTCATTAAATTCTGTATCATCAATATGTTTTAGTGAAAACTAAGGCACAGTTACACCATTTATTCAGCTTCAATGCAAGCAGGAAAAAGGTACTATTCAAAACTGTTTATACGTGTGCAAATCCACATTATTGTTAATTATCTGGCGGAAATGATGATGTGTGCATCAACTGATATTTATAGTAAGTAATCGGTTTTGCTCCAGGCATTGACAACTGCCTGTTTACATAGTATGAAGTGTAGAACTGTGAAACAGAAAAGCAACAGCAGCAACATGGAATTCATTTAAGACATGCAGAGCTAGATTCTGAACCATGGTAGCTGGCATAGCCGGTTTACTCCAACTGAAGATCTGGCTGAAGGAAGTTTCCAGAAGTTCCCTATTATTATTACACTATTTCCAAGCTCAGAAACACCAGTGTAAACACTTGAAGAAGCTATTTTGAAAGTATCTATAGGGAATATTATTGTATTGGTAAAAAAGAAACAACTATTTGCACACCTGTAATTCCTTGGCTACTATGGCCAAGTCCTGGTCTACTAAAATCAGTAGAAAAAAAACTCTCATTGACTTTCATGAGAGAAGAACTTTTCTCTAATTACAGACGTTTTATATTTGGATAAAAAAGGTATTTTATCACAACCCAGATTTTCCCTCTACTTAAGCTCACTGCAGAGTCAATATCACATCAGAGTGTGTGGACAGTGGTTATAATGGTTCAAATATAGCAATATAATTTAAATGAAACAGCACCAGGGTTTGATGCTGCAATCAAAAAAGAAAACAAGAATGCATGAGGAGAGCAAGGCTGCATAAAGAATGTTATGGTAAACACGACTGTATGCCTTATATAAAACAATGGCACAAACTCCACTAGAATACAGTATTCAGTATTGATCATCTCCATTTCAAAAAGTAGATCACATATTTAGAAGGGGTTCAGAGAATGGTGACAAATTTGACTCGGGAAAGGGACAATTCCTTATCTGAACAGAGACTGAAATGATTGTGATTGTTTACCTTAGAGAGGAAATGAAAAAGGACACAATGAAAGCATGTAAAATAATGAATGGTCTCGAGAAGGTACATGAAAAACTTCTGTTCTCCCTGTTTCTAACCACAGAAACAAGGGGACATTCAATTAAATTAAAAGATAGCAAATTCCAAAGCTGATGCAAGAAAGTACATTTTCATACAATGAATCACTAAATGGTGGTACTCCGTGACAGGATGCTATTGAAGTCAATGAGATTCAGAAAATATTTTACCCCAGTGGGACAGCAGGCGTGCTCCAAGGCTTTGCTCCCCCGCAGCAGGACAGCCCAAGCGCGCCTGGGCTGTCCCGCTGCGGGCGTGCTCTGCGGCTTTGCTCCCCATCTCCCTGGTCTGACCAGCAGAGGGGGCGGTGCAGCTAGTGACCCCCCCATCAGACCAGG